TGGTCCTGGGCTTTTCATTATTGTGGCATTTGGTTACGATTCATCACTTTCCTTATTTTAAGTCTGTGCATTTTTATTTCTTTGTGATTCATTTTTGGTAGTTTGTGTTTCTAGAAATGTATCTATTTCATCTGTTATTTAGTCTGTTGACATAGTTTATGGTGTTCTGTACATTTTTTATTTCTGTAAGGCCTATCGTAATGTTCCTACATTCATTTCTGATTTTAGTAGTCTGAATTTTCTCATTTTTCTCCTAATCAGTCCAGCTAGAGATTTGTCAATTTTGTTACCTTTTCAAAAAACCAACTTTTAATTTCTTTTATTATCTCTATTGTTTTCCTCTTATCTATTTTATTTCCACACTCTGATCTTTATCATTCCCTTCCTTCTGCGTTCGGGTTTAGTTTGCTCCTCTTTTCTAGTTTTACATGTATAAAGTTAGGTTATTGAGTAAATGTAGATGTTTACTGGTGTTAATTTTTGCTATGAACATTGCTCTCACTGCATCCCATAAGTTTTCAAGTGCTGTGTTTTGTTTTCATTTATCTCAGAGTATTCTGTAATTTCCAGTGTGATTTCTTCCTTGACTCATTATTTGTTTAGGAATGTATTAATTCCAACGTATTTGTGAATTTTCCAGTTTCCTTCTAATTGATTTTTAGTTTCACTTCATTGTGGTTAGAGAAGATACTTTGTGTAAATTCAAGCTTCTTGATTTTTTTAAGTAGTGAAAGCGGATGTCAGATTGTATGATAAAATTTCACAAGTATAGAAGATTATAAAATATGGGACTTATATTTTCTTAATACGTTTATTTATGAGCATTTCTAATTTTTGGTCATTAGTAATGGTAGTTTAACAGTGATAGAGAAGTTGCTGAAGCTGAGAAGGTCAAATGTTATGATGCTTGAGGCTTCACTGAGTATTGTCATAAATTTACATTTAAAAATAATATCCGATGTCCTCTATTTTTTATAATATTCTTTAAGGATAATTATTTATTTTTCAGGTCATGAATGTTAAGAGCAGTTAACATCTCAAGCACAAGAAAGAGTGTATTTTGTGTTTGCAATACAGAGGCAAAATTTTTAAAAATCATGATTAGTTTAAAATTTCATTTATCAGAACACATTATGGTACAAGATTAAAAAAAAAAAAAAAAGACCAACCAGCCAACCATAGTAACACTTTCTTTTCCCTATTCTGCGACACAACTATTTATCAATGAAATATGTATTTAATTATTTATCCATCATTCAAAAGCATTTTTTTTTTTGCCCATACTATGTGCCAAGCAATGTTAGTTGTGTTTAAGAATATTTGGTGTTATTATAAAATACTTATAACATAGATATGTAAAGGATAGTAGAATGTTTATATTACATGCCTATGTATGTCACATACACACAGCATGCAGAAGCATACGACTTGAAAGAACAGTTTCACAATTAGAAAACACTGGGGAAATACACGTTTGCATCAGTTAGTTTTTTTTTAATTTCCAGCAACAGTAATTGCTTTTTGCTCACTGAATCAAAAGGAACTGTATTATAAGAAGCTCAGTTCCAGGAACTGGTCTGAAATTTGAAAAGTAAAGGTCTCCCTCACTTCAAGGAAACCTGTTGCCTTTCCTTTTATTACTTCGCATCGAGATTATTTTCTACTTATAATTAGAACTATTAATATATATAAAGTTCTATTCTAGGTATTTCCAAATATTAATTACTTTCAGGTACACGTTAAGCTTATGATGCAGGCACTGTTATTATCATATTAATTTTATAAGTGAAGAAAGTGAGGCACAAAAGTTAAAAATATACCTAAGACCTAAATGGTATATCTGGGATTCAAACACATAAACTCATGTTTTAGAACGTGTATCTGAAACACTATTCTATCTTACTTTCTTACAGTATCTATGCATATATTTCTATTTCTCTCTGAGGAGGTATTTGGGTCTCCCAGTGTTCATAATTCTGCTCCTCTTTTTTTTTAATCCTCACTCCAGGATATTTTTCTATTTATCTTCAGATAGAGTGGGAGGAATAGAGAGAAAGAGAAACATCAATGTGAGAGAGACACATCAATTGGTTGCTTCCCACATGACCCAACTCAGGCCAGGGACCAAACCACAACTGAGGTACATGACCTTTACCGAAATCGAACCCGGGACTCTTGGGGCCAACACTCTAACTGCTAACCTAAACCAGCCAGGGCTGCTTTTCATTTTTTAGTTTTGTTAGTTATGCTCATAATATAAAAGAAAAATGCATTTCCTTATCACTTTTTTTTATGTATCACTTATTTGTAAGATATCTGCTACCACTTACAGCAGAGGGTTTTCATATTTTAGTTGCGTGACAACTACAACCTTTGTTAACAACACTCCGTTTCATTCACAGAATTACCTTCCCTTGTGTTTTATACCCATAGTGGATGGTTTAATGACAGTTCAGGCCTCCCACTACAAAAGCTAAGAGAGCCAGACTCTTACTCACTTTGATCCCTGAAATTGCAAGAAGGTGGTCAGCTGACCTAAAGCCAGGTAAGCAGATCTTTTCCTGGAATTTAAGATGCAATGAGTGACACAGTGATGCGGAAATGGTGGAAAGGCAATCATTGCATTCATCGTGGCTGTATTATTCTGGGTTCTCCAAAGAAATAGAACCAACGGGATGAAGAGACAAAGAGCCAGAGAGAGGGAGGGGGAAGACAAGGAAGGAGGGTAGGAGGAAGGAAAAGAGGTTATCTGATTTTAAGGAATTGGCTCATATGATCATGAGGTGCAAGTCCAAAACCTGCAAGGTAAACAAACAAGCTAGAGATCCAGGGAAATGCTGCAGCCCAAGTCTAAAGGCTAACTGCTGGCAGAATTCCTTCTTGCTATTAGGAAGTCAGCCTTTGTTCAGTTAAGGACTTCAACGGACTGGAGAGGCGCACTCACATAGTGGAGGGCCGGTAGCTGTATTCAAAGCCCACTGATTTAAATGTTATTCTCATCCAAAAAACACCTTCACAGAAACATGTGGAATAACGTTTAACAAAATATCTGGCCATCTTGGCCCAGCCAAGTTGACAAAAAAGTTAACCATCACAGCAACCCTGATAGGCTCTACACAAAGGCTACACTTTTCTTGGCCTGCTGTACACATTTTCTTGTGGTTCCGCCCCCGCCCCGCTCCCCATCCCCCCACCCCCCCACCCCCATTTGTAAGCCTGCTCTTGCAGCTGTCTAACAACCAATCTTGCTCTCCCTTGTCTTGAACATGCCTTCATCCACTATCTGGGAAAAACACTCCAGAGGAACAAAGGGATACTAATTTACACATCTATTGAGAAATGTTAAAATATGACAATAAAAATGTTGAGAAAACTGTGAGGTGCTTCAGGTAGAACTGGGTTTCAGTTAGGATTTCTGTAAAGTGGCAGTCAGAGCTGCAGCTATCACATCCAGGACACTGGGAGTTTAGAAAGTGGCCAAGTGCTTAAGGTGCCACTTCTGACTGAGTCAGTCCATTTGAAGGAGACTGCCTAAAAAAACCCAGTCACCAATCCTACCTACATCTCATTAGGAACATCGTAAGAAAGGGAAATTGTGGTATGACTTTTAGCCCGGCACATTTGCATCCAATTATATTAGAAAGAAGAATAATTAGAATTCTTTTCCATGGGGGATAAATGGGGAATCTCTAGCACTGCCAGTAATATAAACTGCTAGAGACTCTATGAAGAGCAATTGAAGTTATCTAATAAAGTCGAAAATGTGTATAAGCCATGATCCAGTAAATACCCCACTAGATATATATCCAAGAAAAGTTCACAGGCACATAGACAGAAACATGATAATAGCAGCTTATTGTTTATAGTCAAATCAGTATTTTTGCTGCCAAATATTGAAAACTCAGATGACCAAGTGAAGAGAAAATGGTAAACAATAAATTGTAAGACATCTATCTGTTGAAACATGGCAAGTTAATGAATGAACTCGATCTGTATCTAGCAACAGTAGCTTGATCTCTAAAGCAATGTCAGATTAAAAAACAATTAGTAGAAAGTTACACAACATTTGATACTATTAAAAATACTATCTGTTGTGCATAAATACATAAATATGTATAAAAATATACAACTTTTGCTCAGAAACAATTTCATGAAAAGGTTGCTTTTGGAAAATGAGGGAGGAAAATGAAACGTTGAGGGGAATACAAGAGATATTTTACTTTACTTACTTTAAAATTATCAAAAGCAAATATGATACAAAGTTCAGTTTGTTCATTTTATGGCTGGTATAAGTAACATATGTTTCTATAATACAATCCCACAAATAGTTAAGTTAATTAATAATTAATCATTAGCCCTGGCAAGTTTGCTCAGTGGTTAGAGCGTCGGCCCGTGGACCAAAGAGTAGTTTGATTCCTGTCAAAGGGCACGTGCCTCAGTTGCAGTTCCGTTGCAGTCCCCAATCCTGGTTGGGGTCATGCAGGATGCAGCCAAACCATGAGTCTCTCTCACATCGATGTTTCTCTGTTTCTCTGTTTCTCTCTCTCTCTCTCTCTCCCCCCTTCCCTCTTCCCACTCTATCTGAAGATAAATGGAAAAAATCCTTGGGTGAGGATTATAAAAAAAATTTTTTTAAAGAATTTACACTTTATTTATTTTCATCAACAATGAAATTGACTGATCTATCTACTTGCATTCTCCCTCAGTTTGACTTACAACTTCAAATATTACTGTGTTGTTCTAAATCTCCAATATTTTATTAGTAAGTTGAATAAATATTATCAATACCCTAAATGGAAAAGTAAGGGGAGACCACACAGTTGAAATGAATAGTAATCAAGTGTATAATATATAGTTTAATAATTCCTTTGAGAAATAAATAGGTCAATTTTCATTGAAATGAAAACCTTTAAAAATATATTAACTTCTTATAGTTGAAATATTTTTGTGTAACTAAGTAACAACTTATAAAATGTATATTCATTCATTTATTCATTTACCTCATTATTTTTTTTATCATATTCCTTCAGAGCTTTAAGTTCGTGGTTCAACTTTGAATTCAATTGAGGACCACATGCAATCATGTAATCTATGTCTGCTTGAAGCTTTGCATTAGCTTCTTCCAATCTTGCCTTTTGTTCCTCCAAATATTGTAGTTGACACATTTTATCTTCAAGATGCCATCGCAAGTCTACAATATCTCTCAAAAAGACCTCGTGTTCTGGACATACAATGGTAGAAACAAAAAAATCTGATTTTGAAATCTGATAATAGATAACTATGAAATACTTTTGTTTCAGAAATTACTTATTTGAAAATCTCACTAAATATAAAATGTTATTTTATTATTGCATTGTAAAAGATATTGCCATCTGCATTTATCACTGAAGGTATTAAAATATGTGTTTTATAAGTTAATAATTGTCTAGGTACAATTCTATATATTACAACTAATACACTGGGTTATATAACCACTCTAACTTTGTTTTAAAAAGTGAGTCATTATCTTGTTAAGTATTACCTTTATAATCTCCATGATAGTTTTCTATTAGATATTCATTACACCTTTTCATTTTATACTCCATGCTTTTAAACATTTTATTTATATTTTCACCTCCTGTGTAGCTATGATGAATTCCATGTAATTTCTTCAAATTTTACAGCTTATTACTTTTCTTTGTCTAATAAACTTTTTAACCAAACACTGAGTTATTAATTTCAAGTAATATAATTTTCATTTTAGTAAGTCTTTTTGTATTTCCCTTTTTGCTTTCCTTTAAACGTCTCTTAGTCTTTTTTTTTCAAAATTCTCTCTTGATTTCTTAAAACATATTAAACATACTTACTTTATAATCTACTATGTAATCCAATATCTGAAAACTTTTTGAGTAAGATTCTGCTGTCTATTTCTACTGATTCACACTCACTGAATCTAGATCTTTGGGTGTTTTATGATATTTACCATAGAGCAGCTCCTTATCTTGGATTTTATCTGACATAAATGTATTCCTTTGGGTAGAAAAAGAGCTACTCTTACCTGAGCTTAGAGTGCTTTTTGTAATATTTTTGTAATTAACTCTTTAGTAAAGGGTGAAACAGAGCATAGACAAAGTCTGGATTAGTCACTCCCAGCCGGGGCTCTGGGCTCACTTCCTGCTTCTTCAGTTCTTCTCCAGAAGGAAGTGAACAAATGGAGGGAACTATTACTTATAAGAAAAAGCAATTAAACCTGTATGTAATTTATTTTCTTAAAATAACATAGTTGAGGAACCACTGGATAATGGTATTTTGTCAGGCACAAGAAAAACAAAATTAAAACCCAAATAACCAGGAAAAAAATGTAAAAATATTAATAAAATTCTAATCTTTCCCTACCGCTCCCAGAAATGTGTACACCCCACTTTGGAGACTACAGTTTTAGAAGACTTATAACATTAAAACAGTATGCATGAGTTCATTTTTACATATTATTTGAATAAATGGCTATTCTCCCAAAGTAAAAATTAATAATAGCACCCCTTTTTCTCTCAAAGGTCTCTTAGTTTAAGTGCTAGATGATGTGAGCAATCCAGTATAACCCATCTGTAAAACATAAAAATCTTGAATTAAAGTTTTACCCTCTGATAGCATAAACAATTTCCAGCCTCAGGCAGAATCATGTAGTCAGGCATGTTTTGATAGGTAGGCACAGGTTTTGGAGAACACAAAATCAAATGCCTTTAGATCGTTTGATACTTTACCATAGGTCCCTCACTCCATAGTCTAAAAGACAGCATTTTCCTTTTGAAACATTTGTTATCTCTGTGGCTTGTAGAAACATCTTGGGTTTTATTGCTTGCTTGAAGTTACCAATAAAATTTACTACTGAATTCTCTAAAGCAGATGTATGTAGCTGCTAAAATATCACTTAGGACACTTGTGTTTTACTATGTTTAAAGATGTGGCCAATAACACTAACTGGCAATCACTTTAAATTTCTAGTCCTCAAATACTTTAGTCATTATATGAAGTTATGTGCCAAACGTTTGCACATGCCTTGGGTACCATAAATCCCAAGGAATTTCAAACAAACACCAATGACAGCAGGTCCAGGTTTGCTCAATGCATTCCTTCCAACTAAGCATTATCATTAATGGCGTCTATTAAAAGTACAACAGTCTGGGTGCAAAATAACAGGGTCACTAAAACAATTGATTTTTTATTCAGAGCCACAGTTGATTATCCAAGCCTCTCTAAGAGGAAATGGCGGTATGAAAAAAAATCCTTATGATTACCTTTCTGCACAGCTAATGGGATTTCTTCAAGTCTCCAGATTGACCAAGCATCAATTGTGTTGTTGATCCTTTCCCTTCTTGATTGTTGTTTTTTCAAAGCTTCTTCAGCTTCTGCACGGTCAGTTTCAAGACTTTTAATGAGAAAAATGGCCTCTGCTAGCAATGTTTCCATTTTCTGCTTCAATTCTGGACACTTTTCATCTTAAAACAGGAAAATGCATTCACATTTATTAATGAATCAGTCTATAAACTGGGTGGTAGGAACATGGGTACTAGTTTTATCACTACACTTAATATTTCTATATTTAATAACAGAATTTTAGGAAAGTGAATTAGCCTTTTAAATTTTAAAGACACTTTATAATAATACAATCATAACATTGATTATAAATTTTGAAAGACAGATTTTTAAGTGGACAATTTATAAAACAATTAGAATAGCTAAATCTCAACCAATAGCTTTCATGCATCATATTTTATCTGAAGGAAAAAAACACATGTTCTGTTCACAAGCTGTATTTTTAAATTAGGCTGTGCTTCCTCTCATTCTATGAGAAAAGAAAATCATAATTATTACATCAGATAAATATTGGAAATTCTCCTATGGTTCCTAGAAACAAAACCACATAATATTCTTTATTTTATCAGATAATAACATCTTTACTTAGCCTTGCCAAAATTTTATTGTTTTTTTCAAACTATTTTTTCAGTTATAACACAAATTAGGTTCTTGTATGAGAGATATTTGTGATTCTTGGTTCACAGCTCTGGAATGATATGTTTTAATGAAAATATTAATATGACCATTTATCTATTTATGTAAGAAATGGACAGAGAACCAATTAAGTCCTAGGCAATACGCTCTCTCCCTGGAAACAGATCAGTAAGGGATATGGATATGGGCCCCATCCTAGTGACATTTATAGTTATAAACAATGCACGATTATCAAAACATGATGCAGCAAGAAGACAAAAGCACAGTCTCCAGAAAGGCAAAGCCCCCAAAGCACTGAAGCTGAGGAAAAACAGTAAACCTGGACCAAGAAGAAAGGCAACTAATAGATATTTGTTTTCTTTTGTTTTGTTTTTGGACAATAAAGATAATAATTTTCTACTGGAAGGTAGTATTACATAATGGTTATAAGTGTAAGCTGAGCAGTCATACAATTTCTTTTTGTAACCTATGGTCTTGTTGAAGAAATTCAGCATTCTGCCTAAAAAGAATGAAACAAGTTTCTCTATTCCAATGCATCAAATTATCTTTTTCCAGATTGCTCTTTTATTTGATTTCTATGGGATCTATTGCCATCTTTATTTTTTTCAAATTCTACCACATTCTGTAAACTTTATATTCTTAATAGTCTGTTTTTAATAAGTGGCAATGTACACATTAAACATTGGGTTCTCCAGCCAACTTATGATCCATTCGATTTCTAAACCAAGATTTCAGTCTGAAACACATGATGAAGTTATTGCCACTTAACTTAAAGCACTTCTGATTAGATATATTTGTGTACAAAGGTGTCCATTATGTTTTTATAAGATGTCTTTTATACTGTTTCTATCTTAGCATTCTAAAATAAATGGTGTGTGGATAACTTTGGGGGCTTCCAACTCATTGTATTTAACATCTCTCTCAATTTTTTTTCTAGAACACTACCTCCATTAGTTTTACTGTTTCATATTGAGTAAGAACAACCACCTGCCATTTTTTAGCATAAACATTTACAATAAATCTTCCTTGTCTTCATACTGTCTTGTGTTTTAGAGTCAAATGTATATGTTTATAATAAACGGTTACTGTGACTGCTAATATTTTTTTTTCTCCCAGGATTTATCATGTGAAAAATTAAAAGGTAATGAATGAGGCTTTCATCTTCATTGTAGATGTAAATAGTGAAAAGAAACAGTAGAAACAGAGCCTCACTATGAATAACATCTTGAATAAAATATTCTTGCTTTTAAAAAGTCCTGAGTTTATCAGTTATCTTTCATTTAATGAACACATTTTTGTGGAAAGGAGTGGGGAGGAGTTAATATAATATCAAGAATGTACAAATACATTGAAGAATCTTAATACAGCCCTGGCCGGTTTGGCTCAGCGGTTAGAGCGTCGGCCTGCGGTCCTGAGAGACCCAGGTTCGGTTCCCGCTAAGGGCGCGTACCTCAGTTGCAGTTTGTCCCCGGCCCTGGTCGGTTGTGCGGGTGGCAGCCACTCGATGTGTCCCTTTCACATCGATGTTTCTCTCTCTCTCTCTGTTCCTCTCTCTCCCTCCCACTCTACCTGAACAAAAAATGGAAAAATGTCCTCGGGTGAGGATAAAAAAAAAAAAAAAGAATCTTAATACATATTTTATTCTAGTATATAAATTATTTTATATTTTGTAAATTGTGACAAGAATATTAATCTGAATTTATATAATATAGATAGTAGAGCTGTGATGCCCATCCAATATGGTAGCCATGAATCACATGAGACTATGCTCATTAAAAACTAAGTTAAAGTTGCCCTGACTGGTTTTGCTAAGTGGTTAGAGCATCAGCCTGCAGACAGAGGGTCTCGGGTTCAATTGCCAGTCAAGAGCACGTACCTGGGTTGCACAGGTTTGATTCAGGTCCTGTGGGAGGTAACCAATTGATGTTTCTCTCTCACATCTATGTTTCTCTCTCTGTGTCTCTCTTTCTCTCCCCTTCCCTCCCTCCCTCCCTTTCCCTCTCCCTCTCTTCACTCCCTCCTTTCCACTCTATCTAAAAAAAAATCAATGGAAAAATATCCTCTAGTGAGGATTAACAACAACAAAACAGTTAAACAAACTTAAAAATTAAATTCTTCAGTCTCACTAGCCACATGTTAAGGATACAAGAACTGTATGTGGCTATAGAACTGTATGTGACAGTGTAAATATAGAACTCTTTAATTATCACAGAAAGTTCTACTGCACAGTACTGGATTTATAAGTTAGCTTCTTGAGAGGTGGGCCAGGATCATTATACACTCAAGACCTAGACAAGTATATGGTATATACTAGTCATTAATAAATATTTGCTGAACAAATGTTTAATCAAATTATATAGAATGTTCTTTCCTCTATTAGACACTCCAAAGAATTATAAAACTGTTAAACATTACTATGAAAATTAGAAATATAATAAATGAAAAGTCAAATATAATTACACTATCTAAGTATACAATCCAACTGTACCTCTCTCTTCTTTGGGTTTGACCTCTTTGACTGGTGCAGCAAGACTCCAATCTACTTCCAGGTGTTTAGCAGAAGCCCTGCTCCTGTGTAATGGGAAAGAAGGAACCAATTACTATAGGAAGGCTAGACTTAAAGTTAGTAAAATAAATTTAGGTGATGCTCTTAACATTGAATTTTAAAGGTTTGTGGTGAAACTTATTATATATACATTAATTCTACTATAGTGGAAATTAATAAAGAAAAATTTTTCATGGTAAATTAATAGAAAATTTTATTTTATTTCAATTTTATTAATTTATTTTTGTTACAGATGTTTCTCTTCTTCCCCCAGACACACTCCTTGTTACAAATGATCTGAAAACTTTAAAGAATTAAAGCAGTATTCTTTTTTAAAGAAATTAGCCTTTCTCAGAGATTTGCTATCAGAAAAAGGGATTTTTTTTAAATATTTTAAATGAGCCATTTCTCTAATTTCACTTTAGCAATTTCTGGGGAATCAATAGAAATGACAAGAAGCAATAATACTATTTCAGATTTGAAGTTTAATAAGGTTTTAGAAAAATGTCCAAATTAAAATGTTATTTCTTTTCTAAAGAATCTTTTAGCTAAATTTCTATATGCTGAATAACAATATATTTTTCATTATCGGTATTACTCCTTTCTAATTCTTGTATCCTAGACTAGGTTTCATTGTATTAAAGCAAAAGTAGTTTTTCTCTGATAAAAGTTATAAGAAAATCAGTATAAACACAAAGCAGGGAGTTTCATTTTTATCAAATTATTATTTTTTTTATTAAAGAAGTATTGTAAATTAAAGAAATCTGTACAGCTGACTACCATCTACTATTTCTGATGGCTGGATGTTATTTGTTTCATTGTAATTCCACAGTTTATTTCAGAAAATTTGTCTATTCTGAGGTCAGAAATATATTCATTATATTTTCTTCCTTCATTTTTTATTTCATTTAAATATTTCTTTTGAATAAGGTAATATATTTTTCTTGTTTGTTTTTAAAAATAGAAAAATAATTATCCCAGCATCTATTATTAAATAATGCTCTCCCCACTGTCTTATAATACCAATTACAAGATATAGTATGTTATTATACAAAATTAAATCTATTTTTGTGTATTATATTGCAAAATGAAGTTAATTTTTAGACGAGCACAATTCTGTTTAATTTATGTATATATGTATGTGCGTGTGTATATATGTACACGCACATATATACATATACAGAGAGAGAGAGGAAAAGATGCAAAAGTCATAAAACAGAAATTTAACCATTTGGAAGTATAAATTTCAATGGCACTCATTACATTTAATATTGTGCAGTCATAATCCCCATCTAGTTCTAAAACCATTTCATCACCTCAAAAGAAAACCCTCTATTTGTTAAGCAATCTCTCCCCTTTCCCTCTCCATTAGCCCCTGGCAAGATCCAATTTGCTTCCCATCTCTATAGATTTACCTAGTATGGATATTTCATATAAATGGAAACATACAATGATTGCGTCTGGCTTCTTTAACTTCGCTTAATGGTTTACAAGTTTATCCATTGTAAAGCATGTATCAGAACTTCATTACTTTTTATGATTGAATAATAGTCCATTGTAGAGATACACAACCCTTTACTTTTCTATTAATCCATGGAGGAATCTGAGGTTGTTTCCAACACTTGGCTATTATGAATACTCATGACATGAACATTTGTAAAGTTTTTGTATTAACACCTGTTTTGAAACTTTTTGTGTATATATCTCAAAGTGGAATGTTGGGTCATATCGCAATTCTAGGTTTAACTATCTGAGGAATCAACAGGCTGTTTTCACAGTGGCTGAACCATTTTACATTCCCACCAGCAACGTGCAAGGGTTTCACTGTTTAATAAAAGTGGCAGCAGTGGGCCATCGTTGTCTGATCTTAGGCTGAAAACTTAGTCCTCACCATTAAGTATGTCAGTTAAGGATTTTCATAAATGCCTTTATCATGTTTGGAAAGTTCCCTTCCAATCCTAGTTTTTTTTTGTTTTCAACATAAAAAAGTATTGAAATTTGCCACCTGGCTCTTACATCAATTAAGATGTCCAGATGGGTTTCCCCTGTCCTTTTATTACTGTGATAAATTGATTATTTTTGTATTTTGAACTGCCATTCCATTCCTAGGATAAATACCACTTAGTTATGATATATAATTCCATTAATATGCTGCTGGATTCAGGAGGCTGGTGTTTTGTTGAGCATTTCTACATCAATAGTCAAAGTCACCAGTCTATAGTTCCTTTTCTTGTGATGTCTTTATTTGGCATTAGTATCAGGGAACTGCTGGCCTCACAGAATTAGGAAGTGTTCTCCCCCTTCTAATTTTTAAAAGAGTTTGAGAAGCACTGGTATTAATTCTTATTTCAATGTTTAGTAGAATTCACTAGTGAAGCCATCTAGTCCTTAGCTTCTCTTTATTGAGAGATTTTTTATTTCTGAGTCAATCTCTTTACTTGTTACATCTGTTTAGATTTTCTACTTCTTCCTGAGTCAGTTTTGATGTCATGTGTTTCTAGGGATTTGTCTGTTTTATCTTGGTTATCTAATTTGCTGTTCATAGTATTTTCAATTGTTCATAATATTATTAATATTTATATAAAGTCTGAAGTAATGTCCTAATTTTTTATGATTTTGGTAATTCAAATCTCTTTTATTTTATTATTGTTTTTTGGTCAGTCTAGCTAAAGGTTTGTGAATTTGGTTGATCTTTTCAAAGAAACAACTTTTGTTTTCATTGACACTAATTTTTTTACTATTTCACTTTTCTCTGCTCTAATCTTGACCATTTCTCTTTTTTTGCTAGCTTTAACACATTTATTCTTTTCTAGTTCAATAAGGTACAGAGTTAGGTTACTATAGTGGGGAATCTTCTTTTGTTTTTTGTTAATCCTCACCCAAGGATATTTTTCCAATGATTTTTAGAAGGAGTGGGAGGGAGAGAGGGGAAGGAGAGAGAGAAAGAGAAACATCAATGTGATAGAGATATACAGATTGGCAGCCTCCTGCACGACCCTGACCGGGGTTGGGATCAAACCTGCAACCCAGGCGTGTTCCCTTGAGTGGGAATTGAACCTGTACACCTTCAGTCCACAGGCCAATGCTCTAGCAGCTGAGCCAAACCAGCCAGGACTGGGGATCTTCTTTTAGCTTTTATAGCTACAAATTTCCCTCTGAGCACTGTTTTTGCTGCATCCCATAAATTTTGGTACACTGTTTTAATTTTTCATTCATGTCAAAGTATTTTCTAATTTCTCCTGTGATTATAGTTTGACTCATTAGGTTTTTTTTAGTGTTGTTTAATTACCACATACATATGAATTTTTTAGGTTCTCTGTGTTATTCATTTCTAGTTTCATTATATTGGGGCACAGTATATACTCTCCATGATTTCAGTATTTGTAACTTTATTAGGATTTGTTTTGTGTCTTAATATATGATCCATCCTAAATGATGTTCAATATGAACATGAAAAGAATCTGTTTTCTACTGTTATTGGGTGAAGTGTATTATATAAGTCAGTTGGTATAGATGTTTCTAGTATTGGTTGAGTCTGTTTCCATACTGATCTTCTTTTTAGTTCTTTTATCCATTATTGAAAGTGAGGACATTAAATTGTCAAAGTCTTATTATAGAACTGTCTATTTCTCCCTTCAATTCTGTCAGTTTATACTTCATGTATTTTGAGGTTATGTTTTTAGGTTTGTATATGTTTATAATTTTTATATCTTCTTGATGGAGTGACCCTTTTATCAAGATATCAAGTATTCTTTGTCTCTTGTAATATATTTTGACTTAAAGTCTATTTTGTGTGATATATAGTATAGCTACCCCAGCTCTATTTTGGTTACTATTTTCATGAAATATAATTTTTTTCCTTTCACTTTCAACCTACTTGTTTCTTTGGATCTCAAAGATATGTTTCTGTGACTCTCTTATAGACAGAATATAATTAGATCATTTATTTTTATCCATTCTACCACTTTCTACCTTTTAATAAAAGAGTTCAATCCATTTACATGAAAAGTAATTACTGATAAGAAAGGACTAACTTCTGCAATTTTGTTTTCTATATTACATATTTTTCATTTTTTAATTTCTCCATAACTGCCTTCTTTTGTGGTTAATTGTGTGTTTTTATTTTTATTTTTCTTAGTGTATTCTTTTAGTTTCCTTCTTATTGGATTTCTGGATATTTTTGTTTATTTTTAGAATTTTTCTTAGTCATTCCCTGGATACTACTATTAACATCTTAACTTCATGAAAATTAAGTTCAAATTAAAATCAATGTACTTTCAATAGTATTAAAGAATTCTGTTCCTTTATAGCTCTGCTCCCTCCTTTTATGCTATTTTTGCAAATTACATATTTATAAATTATGTCACCATTATATAGATTTATAATTATGGTTTTACCCATTTATATTTTTAATTATAAAGGAAAATAAAAGAGATAAAATAATAATGCAACTATACTGACTTTTGTATTTATTTTTATAGCTACCTTGACTGTTGTTGGTTTTTTTTTAATATGGCTTCAAGTTACTGTCTAGTGTCTTTCATTTCTGCCTGAAGGGCTCCTTTTAGGATTTCTGATAGGATAGATCTACTAGTGATGAAGCCCCTCAGTTTTTGTTTGTATAGAAAAATCTTAGTTTCTCCTTTATTTTTGAAGAACACTTTTTCAGGATTTAGAACTTTTTCCTTCCAACAACTTAAATATGTCACTTCACTGCCTCTGACCTTCATAATTGCTGATGAAAAAGTGGCTGTAATTTTATTGAGGATCTCTTGTACATGATGAGTCCCTTCTCCCTTCCTTTCCCTGCACAGGTATACCCTGATTTTCAAAAGTTCACATTATGCCACTTTGCTTTTACAAAAGACCTATATTAGTATCTGGTTTCACTGAGTGAAAGAAAACCCAAGAGAATTTTTTGCTTTTAAGAAAAAGTCAGAGTAAAAGTAGTGCTCAGCATTTGTTTTGCCGCAAGTCATTATAGAGGTAGCAAATACCCTGAGCAGTGAGAATGGCACCTCCAAGCTTCTCCTCTGGGAACTACACTCAGGATTTCAGCATCAAGCCGTCATGTCTTTGAACAGTGTCTGTGAGCATCTACGCTTCATATTGATTTATTCTGCGCATCCATTAGCAAGATGTGTCCTAAAGTATCAGAAAAGCCTACGAAAGCGCCTAAGAGTGCTACACTTAGCATAAAACTAGATGTAATTTGGCATATTTTGTATGATTTGGGGGATCTGGGAACACTCAGAAATTTGCCTATATAAATTAATGGTAATTGCTTCTCTGCTTTATGCCATTTCAGTTTACAAAAATGTTTCACTGGAATGCTCTACTTTTGGATAGTGGGTGAAACCTGTACTATCTTTGTCCCAGGCTTCCCACAACTAAAATGTGTCTTAGTGTAGATCGCTAAGTTTATCCTGCAGGAGTTCTTTGAGTTTAGTGGAAGTATAGATTCATGTTTTCGTCAAATTAAGCAGTTTTCAGCCAGTGTTTCTTCAAATATTCTTTCTCCTTCCTTTTCTCTCTCCAGTCATTCTTGGACTCCCATTGTGGGTATATTTGTATTCTTGGTGATGTCCCTGGAGTTTATTAGGTTCTGTTAATTTTTCTTTATTCTTTTGTCTTTCTGCTCCTCAGCCTGAATAATCTCAATGAACCTATCTTCAAATTCCTGATTCTTTCCTCTGCCTATTCAATTCTATTGATGAACATCTTTAATTATGTTTTCATTTCAATTACTGTACTTTTCAGCTCCAGAATGTCTATTTGGCTCTTTTTTATATTTTCAATCACTTGATTGATATTCTATATTTGTTTAGATGTTAGATTCCTGATTTTGTTTAGTTCTTTGTCCATAGTTTCCTTTATCTCCTAAAGAATATTTAAGACAGGTGATTTTAAATCTTTATATAATAAGTCCAAAATCTGGGACAGTTTCTTTTATTTTATATTTTATTGTTAATGGCACAAAGTCTTTCATTCTTTGACTGCCTCATAATTTTTGTATAAAACTGAACATTTTTAATAGTTTAATGTAAAATGTAAAAAAGGTTAGCCTCTGTCTATTGGGATTATTGTTGCTGTTTGTTGCAGATGGTTGTTATTTGTTTAATGATTCTTTTAAACACTTTTTGTAATATCTGCATTCTTTTCCATTTGTGGCCACTAAAGTAAGTCTTTCGTTAGCTTATTGGTGAGCTTGTGTTTTGCCTGTTAGATTAAATACCTTGAGTCTAAACAGAAAAAGGAGGAAAAAAATACCCTCCTAATCTTAAAAGATTGGCTCTCTATGGGAGTTCTTCAATGCTTACGCAGGATGTTTATATCTCTGCCTCTTACCATCAATTCTTGCCTCTGCAGATCCTAAAGTTTAGCCACAGGAAAAAAATTAGAGGGTTCTTGGTTCTTCCCAAAGCCAGTGTCCAGCATTGGTCATATGTGTGCACTTCTTGATTCTCCAACATATGTGAGAGCTTTGAAAAGCCTATTTCCTCATGTAGCTCTGTTCTCAACCTCTTCTTTGAGGGGAATTTTTGTCTGTCAAATGCTAGGTCCATTTTTTAATTAGGTCTTGGTCTTCCTTTTGTTGAGTTGTATGAGTACTCTTTATATTTTGGAAATTAGCCCCTTATCTGATGTACCATTGGCAATAATGCTCTCCCATATAGTGGGTTCCCTTTCCATTTTGATGGTTGTTTCTTTTGCTGTGCAGAAGCTTTTTAACTTGATGTTGTCCCATGTATTCATTATATTTTAATGTCTAATATGAAAAAATTCTGCTTTCGATATTCTGGGGTTTTTTTAATCCTCACTTGAGAATATTTTTTCATTGATTTTTAGAGAGAATGGAAGGGAAAGAGGAAGGGAGGAGAGTAAGAGACAGAGAGAAACATCAATGTGAAAGAGACACATGGATTGGTTGCCTCCTGCATGTGCCCTGACCAAGGCTGGGGATAAAACTATAATCCAGGTATGTGCCCTTGACTGGGAATTGAACCCACACCCCTTTGGTGCAGAGGCTGATGTTCTAACCACTTAGCAACATAGACCAGGACTAATTTTCTGTTCCTTTTCAAATAAAACTCATCTACAATAGATTAATCATCAAAAGATGAACAAGAAAAAATAAAAGAAACATGATAGGTTCTTACCATTCTTCAAAAGAAGTTTCAAACTGTCAAAATAAAACATCTCAATAAAAATCAAATTTTAAACATCTCAGAAAACAATAGTAAATTTAACTTATGCTTGAACTCACTGGTAAAATTCTAACTACTCCACTTCACATTCCCAATTATATTTTTGTCAAATTATACTCTGTTGTTTCCTAAACAATTATATATTTCTACTATCTAGTCCTATACTTTCATTATTATTCCCATTTAATTGTTCTCACCTTTCCTCTGTGTTTCTAAATCTTACACCTTCATCAGTTCAAATGCCACTTACTCCCAAATGGCTTTCCCCACAAGCAGAAGTGTATGATAGCCATTGAATTTTAATATATTACTGAAGAGTAGAAAACACATAATTACATGAGTTCACAAGTATTTAGTTTTCCTGGTAGTATCTGTTTATTATCCCTCTCCTGGACTATAAACTCCTTGGTAGGTGTCATGTTCCATGACATACTCTAAAAGAACCTTGACCTGTCATGGGAATAAATTACCAAAACCACAAAAAATATATATAGTCAGAATGCTGTGGGTTTCATGGATAATCTCTAATTCAAGATGTTAGATCGGGTATATATCATTACTTCTCTTCAATTCCCTATCATACCAAAATTTCTGGAGAAAAAATATATATCTATGTCGATGAAATCACTGTAACACACATCACAGAAGAATACTCAGAAATAGAAAGTAATCTGATGAGACTGATAGTGAAAACAGAGCAAAGAAAAGTATAAGTCAGAAGAGACAAATGGAGAACATTTCAGGAGAGATGAAAGGCTTCTCTGGAGAATTCTTGTGGAATTCCCAGGTTGTAAGAATAAACAGATGATAATCAAAACAAATAATAGAAGGCAGTGGTGAGATGAACCAGTATTATTATCTGGAGTCTCCCCCAACCCGAATACATAGTTGCCTTCTAATCATTGTCATGAGCACTCTCTAACGACATTGAAGATCTGTCTAAAATAGGAAGGTTGTCTAATAAATATGGAAGTTATGTTTCTAGAGAGAAACAAAACAGAGCCTATGTAACTAGCAAAATCTCGCACAAAAACAGATGGGAGGAGAAACAAAGACAGACTCATCAATGAATGAAAATATTCTAGGGTATTACAAATTCAAATGTAAGCTTATTTAGGCAAAAGTAGAGGCCCGAGACTATGTTATAATCTTATGGGGCTACCGTTTTATATACAGTTCATCACACTGAAACGTTACTTGGCTCATGACATTTTAGAGAACCAATAATTTAATATTAAGTTTTCATCAGTTTGCCAAACTTCCCCATTTACTTCCTACTTAGTTCTCTCCTCTAAACAGGTTTTGGCATTTGCTATATCGCTGAAATGTTCTTACGCTGATTGTATAGTAAATTCAATGGAATCTAAAAAACATACCTAAAGAGACTAAATTCATCTACGTAATAAAAAGTGATGAGTTCAATTGTTTGAAATCCCACTGGGTTTTTGCATAGAAGATGACAAGCTCATTTCAAGATTTATATATAACAAGAATAGCCACAGAAGTCTATAAAAGGAAAAAAGGGAGGGAACTACCATATCAGATATCAAAACATATTATGAAGCATGCTGCCAGGTGCAGTGAGCTTTGTTAAGCACTTCCCATTGAGATGTATCCTTGCAGAACACTCTCCCAGCCACTAGACATGCGAGTGAGGCCATCGTCATCACTGCTCCCAGTTGAGATGGCAGATGTATGCATCCACATTATTGGCTCCAGGCAAGAACCAACAAAATTTCCCAGCTGAGCCCAGAACAAATTTCTCAACTGTAAACAAATAAATGTTTGTTCTAGCCACAAAGTTTTAGTGTGTGTGTGTGTGTGTGTGTGTGTGTGTGTATGTATGTGTTTGTGTAGCAACAGATAACAGAAAAAACAATGGTTACTTTTATGAAGGTACTTTCATTGGAATAATGGAGACCAAATGCAGACTGCAATGAATAAATGAATAGTTGGAAAGTGAGGAAGCAGAGATATTAAATTTAGCCAGCTCTTCAGATGTTAATTGGGAGGGTATGAGAAAGCAAATAAAGGTATGTATGTGATTTTTTTTTAAGTTTCCTTAAAAACAGGAGAAACATCAATATTTTAAATGTGAGAGGAATGAGTTTTAAAGAATGGAGATTTAGAAGATGAGATGGTGAGAAGAACACCTGACAATAACAAGATGCTTGCACAATGTAATGCAGGTAAAGGCAGCAGTCATTGGTGGGGGAAGAAAATTTTCCATGAAAGGACAAAAGGAAAAGTATTTGTAGAATTCAAGGATGTTCCTATGTGAGATAACAGGAGTTGGAAATATTTCTGTTATTATATCTCCCATTTAGGGGGCAAGAGATAAATAAGTAGTGAGGTGGAGGATTTGGAGACCTGAACAAAGGAAAGGATTGGAGTGTCTATACCAGGGAATAATAGTAGAGAAAGTTCTAGATGACAAACAGAATAATTTCAGAATACTATTAAAGGTCCTATTACGGTTGGAGACCATAAATGTATAATACCTCAAATTTGAATTATTGTGGGGATGAGGGTGGATGAGGGTAGAAGAGAGTATAGAGGGGATAAATGGTGATAGAAATAATAATTTTAATTGAATTACTGTATAATGTTCTCCAGCACTATTCATCAGGCTGGGTATAGGAGGGAAGATAGCAGACCATCAGAGATACTCTCCAGGGTTGGCATATTTTCAGACTAGAAGGATGACAGAATAAAGAACTAAGTATACCAATTAAAGAGATGAATTGATTAGGAAAGGAAAATAGAAATGATAGAATGAGAAACAGTGGATATGTCTTGATTTGAAGTATCCTTAAGCTTCAAATGAAATATAACTGATAACAGAATGAGAACTCAAAGTATCAGAAATTTGGTCAAAAGGGTCCAATGATTAAATACTAGGTTTTAAAATTAGAAACAAATATAAAATAGTGTCATCAAAGCCAAGTTTTCCCATGAGAAATGTAAGTATTTTAACGAGCATGTGTTTTGGTCTTCCTAGCTGAGATACTCTCAGGCATAGATGACACAGCACAGTGATAAGCAGAATGTTCTTAGCCCTCAGGCACACCTGGTCTGGATGATGGCGTTGCCACTGACTGTGTGATCTTGGAGGAAATCAACCTCTGGAATCATTTTCCTCATCTGCAGTTGGGGATAATAGTAGTTTCTACCTTCCAAGGTTTCAATAACGAGTCAATGAAATCATGCATATTAAGCTCATGACATATAGTAAGCACTTGATAAAGTTTGGTTTCATTATCATTGTTATTAATGATAATCTTATTTTTGTATAATATAATCTTTGTATTTGAAAGAATGATTTCTAAATACAGACAGTCTCCACCTTAGGATGGTTCAACTAAGTATATTTAGACTTTATGATGGTATAAAAGTTATATGCATTCAGTAGAAATTGCTTCAAATTTTTCATTTAAATCTTTTCCAAGACCAGTGCTATATGGTAAGATACTCTCTTGGGATGCAACAAGCCAAAGCTTCTTGTCAGCTACATGATCACGAGAGTAAACAACCAATACTCTACAATGTATTCTAACATAAGTGTTCTGAGCATGTCTAAGGTAGGCTATGCTAAGCTATGATGTTCGGTAGGTCAGGTGTATTAAATGCATTTGTCAGGATGTAACCCCATTGGAAGTCAAGGAGCAACTGTACTTTCTCTCTATGCCATTCCTTTAAATCATGGTTGCCTCTTATTGACTTGAAGTGATTAAATGAAGAGAAAATTTTCAATTCAGTAGAGATCATTCCAAATTAAATAAAAGTATCTCTAGTCTAGTAGAATAAAGTGGCAGAAAAATAAAATACAACCTTAATTTGTATGGGAAGTTATCCCAGCAATTATTTCCATCATTTTGCAGTGTTTTCTCATTCTTTGTAAAAGTAAACATACAGAGAAAATGTTCACAGTAACTCTACTCTGAAGAATTTTCTTTTCAAGATTCAGAATTGCAAACAAACTGCCATGAGTGGATGGACAAGCTTATGGCAGCTGCATTTCTGCTAATCACAGGCCCTATAGTGTTTATTCTGACACAAAAGAAACCACTGTGACATAAGGATCAAACAAACCATAATGGTCGATCCAAAAGCAATTGATTTTTCACTCCTCTAATCCATTCCATACCCAAAGCAGATGGCAGCCTTTTAATTACTTAGAGCTTTATCTAATAAAATATTAAAATTATCCTGGTTAAAAACAAACAAGCATTATCCCCCCCCCCCCCTAAAAATAATCCATACCGATCAGCAGTCACTCTAGCCCTAGGAAACCATCAACCTGTTTTCTGTCTCTATAGAATGGCCTATTTTGCACATTTCATATTAATGGGATCATATAATCTGCGGTCTTTTGTGATTATGGTAATGATTACACAACTCTGAAACTACACTAAAAATCACTGAATTGCACTTTAAATGGTAAACTTTATGGTATATACACTATCTCAATGAAGCAGTGTTTAAAAATCAAGCAGTTTGTAGAGAAATATAGTTGCAAATTAAAAGAAGAGGAAAAACTGCTTGGTCTAGAAAGGTCATCACTTTCTCTCTGTCCTTGACACCACCCTGTCCATCAAAATTGCACTCATTGAGTCCCAAAGAAAAACCTAACTTCCTCAGAGGAAAATATCACTGTGGATTGAACAAAGTAAAAGTCAAGAGCATTGTACTTTCAGATTTGGGGGCCTTACCGGAGATAGTTAAATTAACCTATACTATACTTGGGCAAACACCTCCTTCTCTTTTGCTGACTGCTAGACAATTTAGGATCAGTCTGTCTTCATCATTGTACTAAACTGTTCTAACAATTGGGGTATGAAAAACTGAAATTTAAAGAATTTAGAGAGATAATTAAGTCAGTTGCCTGCTTTGACTCCTCACCCTAAAATTCTGAGAAATATGATAATCTGCAACTCAAAATAAGAATTAATTTGTGCAACTCTTGATGGAGATTACAATGGAATTTAGGGCCAAGGCTCCACCTGGTTATCACCAAGTCGTTTTCTGCCTTGTTTTGCCCTCTGCACACATAACCCTCTGGAAACTGGAGAAGGAGGAGGCCCCATTGTTCCCCCAGCACAAAACAGGTACAAGACAGTGCCTAGGATTGTACGCAAGGAAGGAATAAAATGAAAAATATTTATCTCCTCTCCAAGTACAATCTGTTTAAAACTGTAATTAAGTAGAATGTTTTTACGTGATAAAAATATTGAGAAGAAATGTCTTTTATCTGTATTTCATTCAGGAATTCTGGAATCATTAAAATGTACCCAGATACACACTTCAATATTTTCTGCAGGATAATTATTCATTTTAAATATCTCTTACACAAGTAACCTATTTTACTTGAAATTAGGTTTATGCTTAGGTTAACTAATTTTGAATTATCTATAGGAAAATGTACATAATCTTTCCCCAAAAATCCATAAAAAATGGAAATAAACCATTTTTTATTTTAAAAAATACAAGCTATTCTTTAAAGATTTATTTAAAGTCTTGTGTCCTTGATTTTCTTTAATTTAAATTTTTCAAGAAAGAGTATGAATGTAAAGTCTAATATTACAAAATATTAATTTCCAAATAATAACAGAAAAACGTTCTTTTCTCATTTTAGTAGAATAGTCAGGAAAAAAATCATCTTTAAAGATAATAGGTAGCTACTAGTTCATTCCTGAAATACTAATTCAAATATAGATAACTAAATGTCTAATCAATAGTTGGGTGACCTAAAAAAAATAGCATACGAAACTTACTCAGATATACTCTATTAACCAGTTCAACACCAGCAAATCTAACTACCAAATATACAGCCAATAATAAAATATTTTTTTTCTTTTTTAGAGAGCGAGAAAGGGAGAAGGAGAGAGAGATAGAAACATCGATGAGAGAGAACATCGATGGCCGCTTCCTGCATGCCCCAGCTGGGGATTGGGCCCACAACCTGGGCATGTGTCCTGACCGGGAATCAAACCAGAACCTTTCAGTCCTTGGGTTGACACTCAACCACTGAGCCACATCGGCTGGGCTAAAATAAATCTTTTTAACTTAGGAAATAGTCTATAACAGGTCTTGAAATATAAAAAAGATAATGAGAATTTATTTCATAACAAGTTAGATAAAGTTTTTATGTATATAATTTATTTACTTTTAAACAAATTATGTTATTATTACAGTTTTTGTCTAGAAGTGTTTTTAACTGACATTGTTATTTTGTGTGTCTCATGTTGTCAAAATGTCAACTAACACTCTATGTTAATGAGAATTAAGGCCTCTTTTTTTTTTTTTTTTTGCCCTTTGGGGTCATAAAACAGAGGCTGAAATGGACTTTTAAGTCAGATGGAATTCCAACTCTAATGCTTACTACATATGCAATTTCTTGATTTCTCTAAGTCTTAGCTTTTTCACCAGTAAAGTAGGGTTCCTATAAAGAAGAAACACAAAAATATTTATTAAATGCCTAGAGAATAGCAGATGTTTAGTAAGTTGTAGCTCTTACTACATCAGGTGGATAGATGTCTCGGATGTGTCTAGAAAAGGAAAGTCCTGTTTCAGGCCCTCCTTTATTTTTTTCATTCAAAAGTGCCTACTGTGTATTAGGCTCTTAGGTAGGTGACAGAAGACAGCATTAACAAAGAAGCAACAAAAACAACATAATACTAATATAGGATGATATAAACAGCATCTCCATTCCCATCTAAGATCACAACAAATGCGCTCTCATGCTTTTATCAAAGAAAACAAAACCCTGGACCAAGCATCACAAGTGGCCCACGAGAACCCTTTCAGAGCTATCCAGTAACAGTGGTGAAGGCAGAGAGCTAAAACAGGTCTCTCCCATTTGGATACTAATGTGCATTAATTGCTCAGAGATAAAAAATCTTTTAAAAAAAGGGTAAGAAGGTTTTTATCATTTCTAAATCATCCTTTGAAAAATAACTGAATGTTACAGTGATTTCAAGATTGAACTTCACTCAGAATAATAAAGGCAAACTAACAGGTTAAAAAGACAGAGAAAGAATAATTATATTCTCTTTCAACAGATCTATTAAGTATTTCTTCAGAACAAAATAACTCATTAAAAAGGCCACACTGTCCTTTTAGACACCAATGTATTCATCTAATCATCTAATCAGTTTAGTGTCCCAAAAAAGGATGTAAATACTATTTAATTTACTAGTCAAGTTGGCTTATGGAAATTACTTAGCATGATTGCCGTTGGATAAAGAAGAAACAGGTAGGGGGAAATTCTATTTAATAAGGTTGCTTCACCCTTCTTAAGTGAGACTATCAAAACCATGTCTAAATTAGAAAATTATACAACTAAGCAAAGATTCTATAAACTATTTCAACTATCATAAAAAATAACTCCTTGGGTTCTTTAAGTAACAAACCCTTAAAGACTTTATAGCACTCACAAAAATGTTAGTATTTTAAATGTCACCTGTTTCAAATGCTCCTGTATCTTAGACTCCACGTTTTCAATGTGTGAAATAATTTTGTTGACACATGGTGCTGGAACATTTACTAAAGAACAGCTGTGTCGTCGACATGGGTAGCTAAAGTAAATGCCTTTGTTTACCCCTAAAGATAAAGCAGACAAGAGGAAGTTAGTTATCAGTTATATACAGTGTAGTGACCTTGATTTTCAGAATATGCAAAAATATCCAGCTTTATTAAAACTAATATTCTTAAAACTGTTTAACAAACAGACTGATAAATATGTCACAATTACAGAATGAACCTTCTAAAAATTTACAAGCTAAAATAATCATTTATGACTTAAAATGTAATAAATAAAAATTAACCTAGGAAGCAAGAATAAATCTTCAAAGTTGAAAAGTTTAGGTGTTCCACAGCATTATGAACTAACCATCGGAGGTGGGGGGTGTGAGTAAAGAAAAAAGGAAGAAAACATATTAATCCATTTGTTACTACATAAATCCTGAATCAATTAAACATGACTTTGAAATATATTTTCAAGCCTCCCTTCAAAGAGATTCCACATCTTCCAATGTAAATAATATCCAACCACTCATGCGTTGAAAGAATTCTTTCTTAAATCCAGCATGAGTTTCTCCTGCTGAAAAAAATAAAACCAGGTCCCCTTTATTCTCATAATAACCTCATTTTCTACCTTCCATTTCTGAAAATTGGAGTCTCTTTATGAAGAGTGATTGATGTTCTCACTATAGCATTCAAGTTATACTCATCATAAAATCCACTCAGTCTGATGTGCCTCAGTGATTCTAATCCTGCCATGTCCCGTCAACTGAAGGTTGCAGAAGCACAGCAAAGTTATCCATGAAACTCCACCAAAGTGCTTACTTGCAGTCCTTTTGCGTGGAAGGACTCTATTGGCTGGATCATAGCTGCAGTTACTGATCTTAAATGCAAGCCACAAAATAGGCTTGGTGCCTCAGTGAGAACAGTGTGATGACCTCATTTCAGCTGACCTTGAGCAACACAGATGGAATGCTATTGCCTACTGATTGTGCCTTTTGTTTCAATGCCATACCACAGAGAAGGTAAATATTTTAGATATCTTCATTTAAAATGCAATCTTTTCAATGAAGCCTCATAATCTTCTCAAAAAATCACAACTTCTGTGAAAATAGCATATCTGTTTCATTTATAAATAAAAGTTTTTACTCTATATATGAATATATATGCATCTATATATACATATATACGTGTGTCTATATATACGTGTGTGTGTGTGTGTGTACTAATATGGGGCAAACATGGGACTATGCTAAGAACTTTTGATGCCACGTTTTATTTAACCCTCACAACAACCTGATGAAATGGGATTATTATCTTGATTTTTTAACTGAGGAAACTAAGGCTTTGAGAAGTTATATAACATGCCCAGCTCCACTGAACTGGTAGGTGGGACAGCCGGCACTTGAACAGTATCTCCTTGGCTATGGAGTGTAAGCTATACTACAAAGATTGTTTTTTATATCTGTGAAAATGTGGCAAAGAGAAGCAGTCCTAAAAATATATTTCAAGGCATTACAAATCTTTCACATACCACTTGTTTTTTAATTTTGAGTGTTCCTTCAAGGTATCAGTGCTGATTTTCAAAGTATTTTAGTTCACTCTGGCCATTTTGCACGTTATATGCCATATTTCCTCTTTAGTTCATATACAGATAGATATATTATATTTTCATCTCAGTAATAGTCAAAGGACCAAAGTACAAGCTGGTGAAAATTACATATTGATCTCCTACCCAAGTATCTCGGTAAGGGCATGTTGCCCTTCCCTCTAGAAATAAAAAGATTTTAATATACATTTAACAACTAGGAAGTTGTCCTTATGCTCAGAACATTTGTTTTGCTTCATTGAATGTGGGGAAAACAAGAATAGTAATGACTCATTTAACATTTTTCTGCATGTGCCACTTTCAACCTATTGTGTGAATACTAATTACTTTCCATAGCTTCCCTGTGGCTTGGGATTAACATTGTACACATGGTAAAGTGCAGAAAATAAAATACTATGATGTTCAGTTTTGCACTAAAATTCTGTAAAAGACTTGGCATCATAAGCAGCACAAGATAGAACCAGAATTCTGGAGCTTTCGTTACTGCTTTTATTCTAATGCATGCATGGTATAAGTCAAAATTTTGCTTTGCATTTCTTTTCCATTTTACCCACCTTAAAGAGACACCTAGATCACTAAAATGTTCATTCATTTTTTACTTGACTGATAACTGTGCTTCCTAAGCTAAAGCTACACAGTCTCTAACCTTAGATTTCTCATAAATGAATGGGTTGGTGGGGTGTTATATAAAATATTTTTCACCTAAAATTCCATGGTACAATGAGAATTAATGATTTTAGTCAAATATTAATTGAAAGAGCTATTCATGGTGAAGTCTGTGCACAAGTGGTCAGGGTGTTTTAAGAATTAAGCTCAAGCCCTGGCTGGTTTGGCTCAGTGGTTAGAGTGTCGGCCTGCGGTCCTGAGAGACCCGGGTTCGGTTCCCGCTAAGGGCGCGGACCTCGGTTGCAGTTTGTCCCCGGCCCTGGTCGGTTGTGCGGGTGGCAGCCACTCGATGTGTCCCTTTCACATCGATGTTTCCCTCTCTCTCTCTCTCTGTCTTCCTCTCTCTCCCTCCCACTCTATCTGTACAAAAAATGGAAAAATGTCCTCGGGTGAGGATAAAAAAAAAAAAAGAATTAAGCTCAAGCAGGACTCTCATCCTCTCTACATATCTGCCCAACTCCAACTTCCTTGCTCAGAATCAATGTATAAGAAGAAAGATCGTCCTGGGTATAAGCCAGTGTTGAGGTTTGTTAAGACTCTGCAACATGAAATTTCCATTTGAGAGAAAATATGGACTGGCTAATTGTGTTGGCAAATGAAATAAAAATACTATGTACATAAACTGTCAACTCTCCTTGCTCAATGAATTGGATGTTTACGTAATTCACCCAGCCATAATAATTGAACATGTACTTGAAATTTTAGAATGGTAAAACTAAAATCCTATCAGTGAATATGGGAACTCGGTGGAGTGACATTGACTACAGAGGGCATGAATGAACTTTCTGGAAAGATGGAAGATTCTATATCCTGTTTAAAATAATGATAAAATAAATGTGTATATTTGTCAAAAGTCATTAACTTGTTTACTTAAAATGAGTGTACTATATTATACTTAAATTTTACCTCAATAAACTTGTTTTATAAGAGGACCAGTAGCCATACCCTAGTAACAGAATTCAATAAACCCCTGTCAGATTCTCCATCTCTTTCAACTCTTTACACTACAGAACAGAGAGTAGACAATGAGTCCTTGAAATGTTCTTTAATAGCTTTCTCTCATTTCTTCGTTGCCTATTTTTCCTCATAGGCATTACTCTTGGTAAGAATTGATTTTCACTCTTAGTCATCTCCTCTAAGTGCTTAACTTCCAACTAAACATCTTTAGACTTAACTTTACCCTGAACTCCTTATCAAAATGTACAAATCTTCCAAAAACATTTCCTTCTTAGAGCCTGACCCTGTCATTGAATGTAGGAAAGGGAAGGTGGGACCTGTGAGATCCTTTGCAGGATGGGGGTATAAAGTTAAAATTAGAATGTACCCATTGAGAAGTTGACATACCACAAAGAAGGAAATTAAAAAATTCATGACACCAGTAAACTAATATGTCAAAGCCAGAAAGGCTACAGAGAAAAAGAACCCATTCCTATCATCAGACATAGAGCTAGAAAAGATAAAGAAGACATCCAGAGAGAGATCCAGGATGGAAGGGGTCTGATACATTCCAAGCAATGAGAATGGTGCCTGACACAGAGTTAATAATCAGGAGCTATTGAGCAAATAAAGCAATGATGAGAGACTAAAGATATACCAAGATAAAACTTTTGATTAAAGGCCTGCATCCAACCCACTTGATATTAAAGATTTGGACTTTTTCAAGGCCAACAAGCCAAAGGCAGTCTGAAAAGACAAGCCTATTTGCAAAGCCAGTGCTCCTAAAACCAAATTCTTCATTCCACTCAACCTCATTTCCTTCCTTACTTCTCTGTTCCCATTATCAAAGTGTGTAACAATTAAATCATTGTTGAAACCTCTTTTCATTCAAGTTCCTATATTAATATATTATCAAATATTATTCCTTTATAATGTTTCTTTAATTCCTATCTTTCATAGCCACTGATCCTTCATAAATCAAGCCCTTATACCTTAAGGCTGGACTATAATGGTAAGGTAATCAGTCTCCATATATTCTCCTGTAACTAAATCATTCTGCATAACAGACTCATATTTCCAAGCAACAGATTTGGTTATATAATATCTCTACTTAAATATATATAGGACCAGAGACTGAGAAATAAAGCTCACACTCTTGAGCCTGAAATTCATATACTTTTTTCCTGTATTTCAATTATTTCTAGCTTTATTTTAACTAATTATTGTTACATTTCTGAATCTTCCCTATGCTGTAGTCAAAGTAATCTATTTTTCCATATTTTGTACTATTTCATCACTGTTACTTGACTCATTCTGTTCTTCTTCCTTAAATACCCTCCTCACTTTTCATATACAAATGCATCCTTCAAAATTCAGTTTAAATCTGTCTTTATCCATTAACAGTTCTCCTAATCCTTAGAGACAGTGAATATTGGTGTTACTCAAAATACTGAAGGTACTTCTTGGCTATACTATTCATTTGTGTACTACTGTGACAGTTTGATTTACAATAAATTATATTTGACCTTTGTCCTGTTTTGGGAACAGAGCTCCTAAAACCCTTCGAATTTTCTAAGAGAGAGCCATAATGGTGTTCTTCATTGTGTAAATGAGATGACTTTTGGACCACCCCCCCCCACCACCACCACCACCACCACCACCACCACCACTAAGGGTAGGGGCTATTTTTTTTTTTTTTATCCTCACCCGAGGATATTTTTTCCATTTTTTGTACAGATAGAGTGGGAGGGAGAGAGAGGAAGGGAGAGAGAGAGAAACATCGATGTGAAGGGACACATCGAGTGGCTGCCACCCGCATGACCAACCAGGGCCGGGGACAAACTGCAACCGAAGTACGTGCCCTTAGCGGGAACCGAACCCAGGTCTCTCCGGACCGCAGGCCAACGCTCTAACCGCTGAGCCAAAGTGGCCAGGGCAGGGTAGGGGCTATTTTTGAGGAGAATCAACCAAGTGATTGGAGAATTAGAACTTCCAGTCCCATCTTTAACCTCTGAGAAGAGGATAAGGACTGGAAATTAAATCAATCACCAATGGCCAGTGATTTAATAAAGCATACCTGTGTAGTGAAGCCACTATAAAAACTCAAAAGGACAGGGTTCAAAGAGCTTCCAGGTTATTGACCATATCAAGATTTGGGAGAGTGGTGTGCCCAGAGAGGGCATAGAAGCTTTGCACTCTTTCATCATACCTCGTCCCATACATCTCTTCCATCTTGCTCCTGAGTTATAATATTTTTATAATAAACTGGTAATCTAGTAAGTAAAATGTTTCTTTGAGTTCTGTGAGCCACCTACCAAATTTATCAAACCCAAGGGGTAGGGTGGTCATTACAACCTCCAATCTATAGCAGTTGGTCAAAAGCACAGGTGAAACCTGGGATTTCCACTGGTATCTGGAGTAAAGGGAAAGGAAGTCTTATAGGATTAAGCCCTTAACCTGTGGGATCTGATGCTATCTCCGGGTAGATGGTGTCAGAATTGAATAGAATTGTAGGACACCAAGATGATTTTCAAGAACTGCTTAGAAACCCCATGCCCATATATCAGAATCAAGTGCAAAGACTTTTAACTACCTTGTGTCATCTTGTTCCTCCACATAACCATTATTTCCTATTGCTTATAATAATTAGTGTATAGTTATATTTTATTTCACCTCAAGATGATATGTTCCATTTCTTAAATATATCTGTATCCTAATAGGACATATATATTCCAGTGTTTTGAAGTTATTGGTTCATAAATCAGTCATTTGGTAATTTAAAAAACTTGTCCAAAACCTCCCATGGCTCATAGCTTAGTAAGGCAGTAAACTATAAGCCAGAACATTAAAATTATATTCAAGATTTCTACCGGACAGAAATAGGTAAAGAATGCAAATGGCAACTTATCCCAATTTTATCCTGTCAAACTGAAAATCTCCAGAGCAGAAATTTACCAATCAAGATTAAGTCATGGTTTTAAATTTTTTATATAATGTTCTCCACCACAATGATCTAAGAAACAAGTAGGAACCCCTGTATATCAAAGGTACACATTTCATCATCTCTTCCCACATATATTTTCAGAAACACTTTCAGAAATATTTTATGGCTTCCCAAGAAACAATTTTTAATTCTGGATTTCATGTCCCAAAAACAAAAGTCTTTTTTCTTCTAAAAGACATATCCTCATTAAACTGGAAAGTTTCTAGCATCTACCAGTCCTGGCATGGTCAATAAAGAAAATGTTTAGTTTAAAATTCATATATTTGTGAAATTATAACCAATTCTTATAAACCAAATTTTAATTAATGGTATATTAGTAATAAAATGTATTATAGTATTGTAGTCTTAATATTAGAATTACTTTGTTAACTATTAATTGACATTTATGGTTTATTTCTCAATAAAAATATAACATTGACATCACAAACTGAGTGAATATAAATATTGTTTACATAGGTTACTACATAATTTACATTCAGTCCTCACCTTCAGTATTTGTCAGTTTATTTTCTTGAAAAATCTCAACAGCTTCCTTAGGGGCAACAAATGGAACCAATGCTTGTGATGCGGCATTATCTTTTAAAAATAAAATAAAATTTCAGAGAACAGTTAATATAAATTTTTTAAATAATTAAACTAATGCACAAAACTATGCTGTGAAAATGTCCTTGAGAAAGCAACAATAATACACATATTAACCAAAACCCACAGTAGAATATCTTTAGATGTTTTCTCTGTTATTCAATTGGCTAAATTCTCACAAAAAGGTATTCAAATAGTGTACAGCTATTAGCAGCAAATAGAGACCAATAAGAGTGACATCACCAAAATCACAGAGTAGGATATTCTACTCAAATAACTATTATAATATAGATGAATAATTCAAATGTATCTAAAAAGAATACCCAAATAAAAATAATACAGAAAAAAAACTGTAAATAAAATATATATGTATTTCTTTCCTGAGAAAGAAAACTTAATGTGAGCAGATTATGAAGGAATCTAGAACTTAGCTAAACTGTTAACTCTTAGCCTAAAATGTTACTATTTTAGAATTAAAGCTACAGTTAATAAGAAAATATTTATATGTGTGTAATATAGCAACATAATATTTAAAAATCAATGCATTTTTAACACAAAGAAAAATTTAGAGAAAAAAATACAGAGAGAGATTTTAAACTCACCATCATTTATGTATGACACATGCATCTCAGAAAAACCAAATTATATATAGATGTGATGAATACAACATGACCAATTTGATAAACATATTATGAATCTCACAGAGATACAGAATACATGATTTTAATGGTGGTAAAGCTTTATAAAAAGTGAAGCTATCTCAGGCAACAATAACTCAAAAAAATTAACAAGTAGAAACTAGCTACATTAATCAATTTACTCTACAATTAGAAAATAGTCACATAAAATTAATTCAAAAGTACTTGGAAATTATAATGTGTATTTCCAAATGACAAATGCATCAAGGAATAACCCCATGTCATAAGGTTTTCATTTAAAAAATGAAAACACTTTGTAAATAAAAAAGTTTAAAAAACGGAAGATCAACAACTCTTGTTAAATCCATTAGGGAATTTAAATCACAATGCAAACTAAACCACAGCAACCAGAGAGACAGAAGCAAATACAGAGAATCATAGCTTTCTGGGAATAGCAGTTGCTGAGGCCAAGAAAGGGTAGAAAAATTTGAACTGCAATTGATGTACTGTTTGTTGGAGGCTGTGTGAACTAGCTGTGATTAAAAATTCCTGGGAACCAGTTTTAGAGGGTGTCTCACACCTTCATTAGTTTTATTCCCAGGAGGTTCACCAGGTTCTCACAGCAAAGAATAGAAAAATGTTCTTTTCTGCTCTCAGTAAAAGAAGAGGGAAAGTAACTGTTTTGAATTATGCCCAGGGTAAAAAATAACCATTTCCAAAATGGCTTTGGTCTATGCCCAGAGTCCAGCTCCTCCTGCCTTCTTGTCGTACTTAATGTGGAAAAAGACTAATAAGAGTGGCATAACGTTTTCATTTGTCAAAACCCATAGAACTATATACTTCATAAAGAACAAGCCCTGATGTCAAATAAGAAGTTTAGTTCACAATAACTTATTAACTTTAACAAATATACAACACTAATGAAAGATGTTAATAATACTTAAAACTGAGAGGGTCGATAGTAGGAATGTGGGAACCCTATACTCTCGGCTGCTTTTCTGTAAACCTGAAACTACTCCAAAAATAAAATGTATTAATTAAAAAATAAATCAATAAAAATTCCCCTTGAGGAAATCCAGATTTTGGACTTACTAGTCAAAGACTTTACATCTTCTATTTTAAATATGTTCAAAGAGCTAAGAAAAGCATGTCTAAAGAATTTTTTAAAGGTATGAGAATGACATCAAAGAGAGAATATCAGTAAAAAGATAAAAGTAAAAAGGAAACAAGTAAATATTATGGAGTTGAAAAGTATAATACTGAAATGAATCTTTCACTAGAGGGGCTCAATAACTACTTTTAGTAGCTAGAGAAAGATCAATGAGCCCTGGCCGGTTTGGCTCAGCGTTGGAGCATCAGCCTGCGGTACAGAGAGACCCGGGTTCGGTTCCCGCTAAGGGCGCGTGCCTCGGTTGCAGGTTGTCCCCGGCCCTGGTTGGTCGTGCGGGTGGCAGCCACTCGATGTGTCCCTTCACATCGATGTTTCTCTCTCTCTCTCTCTTCCTCTCTCTCCCCCCCACTCTATCTGAACAAAAAATGAAAAATGTCCTCGTGTGAGGATAAAAAAAAAAAAAGAAAAGAAAGATCAATCAATTTGTTGAAAGGTCAGTTCAGACTACTTAGTCTGAGGAACAGAAAAAAAAAATGAAGCAAAATGTATGACATCAAGCATATCATTATATGCATAATAGAAGTCTGAGAAAGAGAAAAAAAAAGAAAAAGGAACAGAAAGACTATTTTAAGAAAAAAAATGACTAAAATATTCCAAATATGATCATAAACATTAAAGTTTATATCCAAGAAGCTTAAGGAACTCCAAGTAGAATGAACAAAATTAGATACACCCTAACTATCTTGAAAGCAGTGAGGGGCAGAAATAAATCACTCACAAGGAATCATCAATAACATCAAAGGTGGTTTATGAATTGAAATCATGGAGCCCGAAGGCAATAGAATGATATTTTTTCAAATACTAAATTAAAAAAAGTTCCCAACCAAAAATATTATTCTGGCAAAACTACCCTTTAAATTTATTTATTCTTTTTTTTTTTTTTTATAATCGTCACCCGAGGATATTTTCCCATTTATCTTCATATAAAGTGGGAAGGGGGAGAGAGAGAGCAGAGTGATCAATGTGAGAGGCACATCAGTTAGTTGCCTCCTGCATGACCCCACCAGGGCCAGGACCAAACTGCAACTGAGATATGTGCCCTTGACCAGAATCAAATCCGAGACTCTGGTCCGCAAGCTGACGCTCTAACTGCTAAGCCAAATTGGCCAGGATGCAAAACTACCCTTTAAAAATGAAGAAAAAAAAAGTAAGACATTTACAGATAAATTAAAAAGTGATAGGTTTCACTAGCAGACTTGCCTACAAAAATAAAAGGAGCCAGTCAGGTTCAAATGAAAAGAATAATAGTAACTTAAATCCCTCATTAAGAAATAAATAGCATAGCACTAGCATTACATATTAGTTATATATAAAAATCAATATAAATGTATTTTTGTTTGTAACTCTTTCTCTTGATTTAAAATACAACTTTAGAAAGCAATAATTTTTAATCCATAGTGGTAGACACAAATGTACAAAGACAATTTGTGAAATAACACCAAAGGGAAAGGTGAAATGAAGCTATATAAAAGCAAAGTTTATGTTTAAAATTGAAATAACATTTTCATTAATCTGATATTGTTATAAATTATTACGTTAATTGTACCTGTTACATAAGCAGAGCAAGGACGATGGGCCAAGTACAGAAACTCAGCAGGGCAGAAAGCCCAGTGTTGCCTAGCAAGAAGAAAAACTGGGAAAACAAGAACCTCTCCCCCAGGGTAACCTTTCCTCCCTAGCATATTGCTGGTCATGTGGTTTAGACCCCCTGCCCTTTTCCTCCCTAAAGATAACATCTAAGCCTCTGTTGTATTTCAGCTCTAGGCCCAGAAAAGCAGAAAAACCAGACAAATGACAAGTGACAGCTGTGGCTGCCTCAGGACCAGCTGCATTGACTAGTGACCCCCTTCCCTGGCACTGACTAATCAGTGGAGACCACAACCCTGAAAGAGCATACCTGGAAAGTTGATACATAGTCTATTATGACCGTCCCCTGAAACTTCCCACCTGCAAGTGAGAGAGATAAATACCTTCAACACAAAGGACCCAGTGCACTCTCCCCCAGGGGAGCACAATCATGACATTCCCTTCCTTAAAGGACTCCAGGAGACTTGCAACCAGGGGAGCAATGGGCAGCAGCAGCTCATCCCAGGCTAACCTTCTGAACCTGTCTCCAAGGCCCGCTTTTCTCTGACTTATGGAGCCAAAGCAACCCAGCCTACGCTCTCCTATTGCTTCTTCTATGCCCTTCATCGTTTCACAGTCCTGCGTGGTTTTTTTTGCTGCAGCTAATAAATTATTGCTTACTTTGTTGTATTTTCTCTCTTGATTGAAATCTTTCCTTCAAGAAGACAAGAACCTTGTTCTTGTCATCTCACCAGTAACAATAGGGTCAGTTTATCAGGAAGCTAAAACAATTATAAACATACAGAAACCTAACAAATCCTTAAACTGCACTAAGGAAATTGCCATAACTCAAGGAAGAAATAGACAACTCAACAATAAAGTGGGAGACTTTAATCACTCACTTTAAATGATGGACAAATTAGAAAGAACTTAAGACAAGTAAATAGCAGACTTGAAAACACCGTAAATCAACTGCACCTAAGAAATAACTAGAGAATATTCCACCAAAGAGTACAGAAACATATTTTTAAAGTTTATATGGCACAATCTACATAATGGAGCATATAATAAGCTATAAACAAGTTTCAATGTATTTGAAAGAACTGAAACCATACAAAGTATCTCCTTAGAACAAAACAGTAAAATAAGCCAGTTAAATATCCCATAATCTCACTTATATGTAGAATCTAATCAACAAAATAAACTGACAAAATAGATCTTTGGATCTATTTTGGAACATGGAAGCAGGGAACAGACTGAAGAACCTCAGAGGGAAGGGGGGCAGAAGAGATAAACCAAAGAACTTACATGTATATGTGCATAACCAATGGACACAGACAGTAGTGTGGTGGTGGGTTGTGAAGGGTGGGGTGGAAATGATATCTGTAATAATACTTTCAAAAATAAAGATACAATTTTTAAATAAATAAAATAGGCAAAAGATGTGAATACACATTTCTCCAAAGATATACAAATGGCTAGTAAGCACATTTAAAGATCCTTGTCATCATGGATGGATCTTGAGAATATCCCACTAAGCACAATAAGTCAGACAGAAAAAAAGCTAAGAACCATATGATTTTATTCATATGAGGGATATAAAACTGAAAGCAACAAATGAACAAACAAGAAAAGCAATAACTCATAGACACAGAAAACAGTATGGGTATGCACTTAGGACAGGAATTACTGTGTCATTTCGTAACTTAATATTTAACTTTCAGAGGGAAGGGGGTTGGGGGAGCAGTAAAGGGGGTCAAATATATGGTGACAGAAGATGATGTGACTTTGGGTGATGGGTACATAATGCAATATGAAGATCATGTGTCATAGAAATGTACACTTGAAACTTATAAAATTGTATTAAGCAGTGTCACCTCAATAAATTTAATAAAAAGAAAAAAAATATATCCTCATCATTATTAGTAATCAGGGAAATGTAAATCAAAACCACAATGAGATGCCACCTCCCACTCATTAAGATGGCTATAATATTGTTAAAAAGGAAAAAAAAGACAAAAAGAAAATTTAAGAAGTGTTGCCAAGGGTGTGAAAAAAACCTGCAATCCTCATATATTGCTATTTGGAATGTAAACTACTGCAGTTGCTTTGAGAACGATTTGGCAATTACTCAGAAAGTTAAACATTAAGTTGCGAAATGACACAGTAATTCCTGTCCTAAGTGCATACCCAACAGAAATGAAAACAGATGTCCACATAAAAACTTGTACTTGAATTTTTATATCATTACTCATAATAGCCCTGAAGTAGAAATAATCCAGATACTCATCCATTGATGAATGTACAAACAATATGTAGAATATCTATGCAATAGAATACTATTCATCCATAAAAAGGAACCTTGAGAAAATTCTAGTTTCAAAGAAGACAGTTACACAAAGCCAACTATTTTGTGAATACTTTATATGAAATATCCAAAATGGTGTCCCATCCTGCCTCCCACACCCCCATTAGCCAAATAAGTCCCTGCTGAGGGGGTATTTCTGTTACCTCTGAAATGTTGAAGTAAATATAGAAAGAAATGGCATCAGTGTCTACGTTGAGCGATGGCACAGAAGGGACCCCATACATGTGGCAGGTAGAGGGCATCCTTGTCTTGGACAGCCTTGCGAGGTGTTGTGAGCTGAGCGTGAGAACTTGTGGCTGTGGTAGAACGTGGACCAGGTGCGGGTGCTGCCCCGAAACCCACCCAGGGTGGCAGGGGATACCTGGAGGGCCGCCTACAATTCGTCCAGGGACGGGGATGCTGTCCTTGGGATCTTTGGGCTTGCGAGACTCTAATGCAAACTGTCTGGGCAGCTAGTGTTGTTAAAGGGGTTCTCTGGGCAGAATCTGCCAGCAGTCAAACATGCCTGGGGGAAGGCCTGGACACCAATATGGGCCCTCCGGTCCCCAGTGAAGCCAAAGGGTTGGCTGACCGACAAGTAGGCCTTCCCTACAATAGGGTGCCAGCCACCGGGACTCCTCCAAGACATGGCCCCGCTTCTTGTTCAAGACACTGCACCGTAGCTGCTACCAAACAGTTGTTCCCAACTCTACGTCTCCACAAGGTAGCGGGGCCCCAGGTGGCCTGCACGCTCCCTTACGGGAAGCACCTGGCTCGGCTGGGGTGCTATCTGGCGGGCAGCGTGCGCAGCCTCACTTCCTGGACGTCTAAGCGCATGCGCACCCCGAAAATTTTTCTCCCACGGTGGCCTCACTGGAATCCCGCCACCCCGCTATCCTTGGTGCTGCTGGTGAGGGTGTGGGGGCAGGTGCCTGCCACCCCGAAGCAGTAGATCTTGCGGGCCTAGGCCACGTCCCACTTGTACTTCTACCTCAGGTACTGGCCCGATGCCCTCAGTTAGGCTCTTGGGGGAGAGCTGTTCCTTTGTGTGCTTGTTGGGGGCACACTGGACTCCTCACTGATGGTCTCACAGTATGAGATAACTGGTAGGATTGCTTGATAGAAATGCAGGTGAGGCCTCAAGCAGGTGTCCAGGTGCAGCTCTCTGGCACCGTGATGATGTGCTCCCCCAACAACTCCATGATACAATGCATCGTGGGATTCGACTTGGCCAGCTGATTCAGCCCCTCCACGCCTGATAATCACTATTTATACCAGCATTCCAAATATTGGATCTAATGTCATCTGAATACAAATATCCTAAACGTACTAATTAATCCAGTCAGTGGGTTTTTCTTAATCTGTCTCCTTTCCCTTACCTCACCTTCCTGGCCCCATTAAGTTTTGGTTTTGTGATCCCTGGTACTGGAGAAGACTACTGTCTTTGCAGCTGCTTCCTTCTGTGAGTGACTTTAATTGCATTTACCTATGACTTCGTTTTAAAGAAAATCACTTATTTATAAATTTACCTTTCTTGGTTTGATCACCTCCAGTGGAAGTGCAGGAAACTGTCTTATTTTCAGGCATGGCTATTTACAGTATTTCGAGACCTAATTAGAAAGAAAAATATTTTAATATCATGAATCAAAATTTGTTTACATTTAATTTCACTAAAAATTATCAATTCAAGAACTGCTAGTGACAGGATAGGTTTCTAATATTCTACAATATAGATATGTAAAAATCAATACTAAATTATGTTTAAAATGTAAGGAAATTAAGCAATATGGTCTTTCTCCTACAAAGACTATCATGAGCCTATTTAGGAACAACAAATATGAAAATCCTCATTAAAGAAGGTTCTTTGATCCCCTTCTTTACTGGTATCTTAAAGACACCTGACCAGACTACTAGACAATTTAACATTCATTATGGGAACTTTGGGCTCAAAGCCCTATGAGGATTCTGGAGCCTATAATGTTTCATTTCATATGATAAAGTTAAACCTTACTATCCATCTCTTCTCTACTTTCTCTCAGTTCTTTTATAGATATTTTATACTGGAAAAAGTCAAATATATACAAAGGTAGAGATAAAAGTGTAATGGACCTCTATGTGTTCATTAACCAATTTCAATAATTATCAACTTGGGGCCAATAAGAATTCTATACACCCACCACAGCACTGTTTAACCTACCCTTGATCATTGTTAAGCAAATTTCAGATATAGTATTCCATTTGTAAATATTTCAATAATTTTTTAAACATAGGCATAATACCAATAATATAATTAAGACAATTAATAATAATATTAAACATATAGCCAATGTTTACTTTTCTTTCATTGTCTCATACATTTTTTCTGATTTAAAAATTATTTTGGAGTAATGATATAAAAAAGCATGGCATTTAATTGAAATGTCTTTTAATTCTCATTTAATCTATGAGTTCTCCCTACTTTTTTCCTCTGCAGTTTATCTAGTAGAAATCAAATCTTTTGGCCTATAGAGTTTTCTACATTGCTGACAACTTCATTGTACTATATTTAACAAGTTCCTCTCTTGTATTTCCTGTAAATTGGTATTTATTAGAAATTTAAACTACTGAATGGAAAGACAATTCTATAATAGAACTAATAGTAGCCACCTCTTTTAATTTGTAGACCGAAAGCATTATAGATTTTGGAGATTAGAAATAATTTAGTTCAGTTTTTTATTTTACATATCAGAGAGTCTGAACTGAAATTAGTAAATTCATGTAGTGTAAAAAGACTACTTAGGCAAGAGTGCTGTGAAGAAAACCCAAGCACGGTGTTTTTTTCAATAAACCAATTTATTTCTTCAAGACCAACTTATTAAAGGAAAGGAAGACACAGGACAGTACATAATTAAATTTTACTTTATATCAACATTGACTTTTTTTAATCCAATGAAAATTGTAGCTGAAACATATACTCTTTTTTCCTCTTCTACACAAAATTACTGGAAAGATATAATAAAAAAGAAGAAAATGAATTGTTCCAGGAACGTAGAACTGAGTAAAATGGAAAATGCTTTTACTCTTTTTTAGAAAAATGCTAATAAAAATCTGGTGAAAACATATTTTTAAATCTCATAAAAGCATCTGAGAACTAACAAAGTGATAATGATTACTTAGGTCAACATCTGATAGAAGACAGAAATCCAGACAGGGGCGACCAACATATAAAGCACTTTCCCAGAGTCAATATCTGACCTGGAAGAGGCAGCTAAGAGGCTGAGCAGTACTTGCAACATACATACAAAGTTTTGGAAACAAAAGACAGAATCTAATCTCTGCCAAAAATAGGCGACCTGGAAAAATCAACCCATTCCTGGGATCCAGATTCCAGAAGTCTTTATCTTAAGGAAAAGAATGAAACAGAAATAAAGTGTATGTGAAGACTGCCCCTAGACTGAAGCCCAGCCTCAAAGCATCTAGGTGACTCAAAATCTCACGTGATGAAATTCTTACCCAACACAAAGTCAAAGGTAACTCCACACACAGAGACTAGATAACAGAAATCAACAGAAAAGGAGATAACAGAAACTAACCTAAAGGTACGCAGATACCTAACTATTCTTAATATTTTTTATAAATATAACATCAAATTTTAAAATTTCAGAACTCAAATCTATGAAACTTGATATTGCAGATTTGAAAATAAGTCAGTTACAAATCCACGAAATATGCAAACTGCTGTAATTACAATTCTAAAATCACTGGTTCAATTTAAAAACAGATATGACAAGACTGAAGGATAAATTAGTGAAGCAAGTTCTGATAAAAACTGATTTTGAATGAAGCATGCAGTGATAAAAAGATGAAAAATAAAGAAACAAACAGAAAAATCAATACTAACCTCTGCTTTCAAGAAGATGGAGTGGATATACTTATCCTTATTCCTTCCTCTAAGCATAACAAAAAGCCTCACATACATATACATATACATACATATATACAACATATATATATATATATATATATATATATATATATATATAATGTATACAACAAATATAAGAAGACTTCAAAAGGTAGAAGAAGGCAGACTTGCTAGAGACCTTAGAACCAGGGGAACAATGAGGTTGTGAGTTTTTAAGATTTTCTTTTTGCCTCATATATTTCAGACTTGAAACTGAAAAAAAAAAACAACAGCAACCCAGAAATTCCAGTAAGTGCAGACCAAATAAAGCTCCAGCAAAAAGCCTGTTCTCTCTAGCCAAGGGACTATGAAAGGGCAACTTGGCAAGAGCGAATACATTTAAGCAATAACCTTTCTACTTAAACCAAATACCACAAAAACAGAAAAACAGTGGCCTCACAAAGGTAGAGTGAGGAGCCAAGACTATTTCCACCCTTGCTAGATTGTACTGAGGCTCCCAAATTTTCTGCTAGGGTGATGTCAGAGCAGGCTTAATAAGAGTCTAGGACTTGCATCCCCACTCTCGTTAGTGGACACTGTGAGGAGTCCACTTCTACAACTCCCAACAGCAGTAATGAGGTACCTCCTCTGCCTACTGGGGCAGTGTCAGAACAGGCTTAGTGGTAAGTCACCTTCTGCTTTAGAGAAGAAATAGAAGAAATCAGATTTAAATTTTAATTTATTCTCACCAAACCCACAAACCAAACATATCTGTGCTCCTTTTGTGTTTCTCTTTACTGGTTTCTCTTATCCCTGAACCTGTGCTAGGGAGCTCATAACATTCTACCTCTTACTAGAACTCTCTTTTGTGCTCTTTTCTTAAAACAATAATTTCTCTTGACACTTATGAACCACAAATTTCTTTCTTTTTAACCCCTTTGCAATAAGTAGACATTTCTTTCAACCCATTGCTATGATTGATTATGAAAATCATTCGTCCCCCTTCATTCCTCTGTTCACTTACTCTCCTTTCTGTAATGAGTTGTCATTAACATTGTGTTATCTATTTATAATATTTTTCATTTTCCTCTTTTCCATTAGAATTCCAAGTCTGTGTTGTTCACTGCTGTAGTCCTAATATCTGCAATAGCACCATTAAATACTACTTTCTACAATGATGAAATGTTCTCAATCTGGGCCTTTTTCAAAATAGTAGATGCTACATGAGCCACATGGCCATTTGGAATCACTGCTGATCACTTGAAATGTGACTAGTGTAACCAAGGAATATATTTTTACTTTTATTTCATTTTAATTAATTTGAATTTAAAAAGCCATATATGGCTAGTGTTAACTATATTGTACAGCACAGATCTATCATATAAGAAGGGTTCAATAAAGTCTTGTTGAAAATGAAAGGATGGATGAATGAAAAAAAAATGCATAAAAAAATGCAATTCCTGCCGTCAGTTTATAATCCTACAGATTGGGTATGGGACTGCCACCTTCCCCCAGTGCTTTCTGGCATTGGTTCTGTTATTAAGTTTTGTACTAGAATTTTTTACTTGTTTCCATACTTCAAAGCATCTTGCACAGACAATTCCTTTTGTCACACCACTCATAGGTTGGCATCTCAGCAAATCACTATATTCCTCACATTTGGTCTGCTCCCTCGTTGCCTAAACAAAATTTCTGAGCTATCAATGTTTCTGCATAGAAAACCCTCTTACCCATTCTCTCTCGTGATTTTATTTTTAATTGTTTGTTCTAAATATTCTTATTGTGAAATATTGCATAGCAATATAAAAAAAAACAAAAAAAAAACCAAAACCTTGATTCCTACAATGCAGCCTAAGAAATAAGTGGTTAATGATAACATTCAAATTCTAATGTATTTCCTCAGTGGTCACATTTCCCTTCCTCCCCTGCCAGAAATTACAACCATCAAATATAATCCCCATGGTGTCAGTTTATTTTTATTCATATGTAGCTCAAAACAATATGCTGTATAATATTAGTTTAGAGTTTTACTTTATATGAATGATGTTATACTCCACAAATCATTCTAAAACTTCTTTTTTCTTTAGTACATTTTTGAAATTTATCTGTGTTGTTACACATAGCTGTATTTCATTCTTTTTCAAGCAGAGTTTCATTTTTTTAATATACAGTTCTCATATCGGTGAACATTTCAGTTGTTTTGAAATGTTTTCCCTGTTGTAATTAAGTTGGCTATAAAGATTCTTGCATACTTTTCTCTGTGTATTATACTAGAGTATCTCTAGGGTATACATATGGAGAAATACATGCTGGGCTATGTTTGTTGTTTTTACTCTTCAACAGTTCTAGATATAGTCGTCTGTTATTAATATGCATTTCAAAGATTTTTTTCCCCAGTTTACTCCAATGTTTTTATTTTTTAAATATTTTATTTTTAATGGGAACAAGTATATATATATATATATATATATATATATATGCATATATATTTTTAATGGGAACAATCATATATATATATATATATATATATATATATATATATATATATCAATTTGGATCACCAATTGCACAAATCCACAAACAATATCAAAAGTCTGTAGTTAGACAACTTAGAAAACTTATCCCCAATACCCTCAAATATTAAAGTGTTAAGGTCAATGATAGTAAGTTTCACCTACTCTTCCAAAACTTCATACATTTTTAT